AGTAAGCATTGTGAATTTCAAACGTCTTTGGGGGAAAGTTGCAGTAAAATGATTTTAAGAATCTTTTGCAACTGTGATAGTAAATAGAACATTTAGTTATAAATTATCACTTTTTTATACTATGCAATGAATTTCTAATTAGGTATTAATAGAACTTGTTAGTAGAATATACATTCAGTGTAAACCTGAATCCCCTCATATTGCTGGTCAGAGAATCTTGTGTTAATGTTCTTTTGCAGTGGTTGGGCCATGACCCTCTATGAATGTTTTCTTTAACCAAATTGAGCTGGCCTGCCTTAAGTCAGGTTTTTTTTTCCTTTACCGTGACCTGGCAGTAAAATATAAAAGATGCTTTTTAATCCCTGAACAGTTACACAGTTTCTTCCTTTTTGGCTCCCTTTCTCTCCTTCATGCAGTCATGTTGGAAATGTTCAAAGAACCGATGCTGCTGATACAAGATACATCTACAGTAAAGTTTCTACCAGTTCCTTTGGTTTTTATCATCTGAGTATGTGCTCCTACTTCTGAGACATGTTCTTTAAAAATCCATTGAAAATGTTTTCCTAAATAACCATAAGGCCCTCGATCTTCATCCTCAATTTGCTTTTTAACAGGAATCTCATCTCTTGAAACCCTTTCTTTAACCATTTCTGTTGGTATGTTCTCCTTTTAATAATCTGTGTCCAAATGAGTGATTCTCAGGTTTTAGTGTTTTATGAGCATTACATCAAATACTTGTTTAAAATACAGATTCCTGGACCTCACTTCAGTCCTAGTAAATTCAGATATATGGAGAATCCTTTTTCAGGGTGGTCTTTGAACCAGGTGGAGAAACAGTTATCTACCACATGCATTCCCACTACAGTCGATTCATGTTCTTCATATACAGCCTTTTTACTTTGTTTCAGTTATTGGCATCGCAGAGCTCATCCACCAGATCTCTAAGAGACTATCCCTATTTCCCTTCCTTGTCAGATTTATTTTTTCTTCCCCCCCTTCAGAAGCACACAGTTGTAGCTCAGTATGTACATACAGTATCTGTATGTAGAGTAATATATGTATATACATTTTCACTTTGCTTTTACAAAGCACACAGAAAAAAACAGCAAAAGCAGAAGTAGCATTCATTTTCGTTTTCCAGTGAGCTGTTAATAGGGTGGCTGATACAGAGGCAGCCTGTACCCCAGGCAGTGAGAGTGGCCTCGCCGAGCTCCTTTCCAGGGAACTACACAGAATCTTGGCATCAAGTGCTGGAGCTTTGAGCTGTGTCTGTGAGGATCTGTCTATTTTGTGCATCCATTATCAAGGTGTGTGCTGATCTATCAGAAGAGTTATAAGAGAGGTTATTGTTTGGGTCTGAAAATACTCATTTTTTCCATGGAAAGTAATGGTAATTGCTTCTTTGCTTTAAGCCATTTCAGCTTACTGAAAGTTTCATAGGAATATTACTTTTGGATAGCAGGGGGAGCTCACACCTTGCTAGTGATTTTTAAATGTGTCAGTTTTTTCCACTGGAAAGAATATTTTTTATCTTTCCTGGCAGTGTGATTTCATTGTAGGCATCTACATATTTGTTTTGAATCTTACTATTATTATCATTTGGTTGCTCCTGTCAAACCAGTCAGTCTACTAAAGATGATTAGGTATCTTCTTTACTGATTCTTGTATACCATTTCTCTTTCTCTAAATTACCAGATTTCCTTGATGCTGTCTTAACAATAGTACTCCCGTATTACATTGGTCTTGAAGCCTGTTGGCTTTCCTGAAAAAATTTTTAATTCCTATTCCTATATGGATTGTGTAGTTCAACGGCTTAAATGAATTTTCCTAAAATTCTACTTTGTAGTTCCACATTGTAAAAATCCAAATCATATCCTTCAAACACAAACTCAAGATGTATAAGGACTCTTGATCTTCAGCAGCATTTATTAACCACATTACACCAGCATTTACTTTTGTAAAGAGTTACTTGTGAACTGGAAGGATATAGGTAATATGGTATTACCTCTTTAAGGGGTGGGATGGTTGAAGTTAGTTTTTATCTGTAATGAGAATTGTCTGAATCTTTTCTCCTATTTTAAAAGTGGGTTTCTTGTTGAATTTTGAGAGTTCTTCAGTTCTAGACACACATCCTTTGTCAGGTATGTGCTTGCAAGTATTTTTTCCTAGAGGCTTTTTGTGTGTGTTTTTGTTTTTTTTTGGTCTTTTCATTCTCAGTGTTTTTAGAACAGCAGCTTTTAATTTTAATGAAGTTAAATTTGTCAGGTTTTTTTCATTCATTTATCATGCTTTTGGGTATAGCATCTCAGAACTTTTTTTAAACCTTAATCACGGAGATCTGTTTCCTGCTAGAAGTTTGAATTTGAGGTCCATTTTGGCTTATGATCATTTTGTTAATTTCTGTATATAGTACGAAGTATGGTTTGGATTTTGTTGTTGGTTTCTGTTTTGTTCCGACTCCAATAGTGGAAAAGCACTGTACTTTTCCATTGATTTGCCTTTTCATCTTTGTCAAATGACCATATTTGAGTCTGTTCTTAGATTCCATTCTGTTCCTTTAATATCTGATACATTAACTGTATAGTAAGTCTTAAAATCAGGGATTATGGGTCATCTTCATTTTTAAATTGTTTTGGCTATTTTAATTCCTTTTCGGGTAGAATCAGGTTTTTATTTTTTCTCACCACCAACTACCCCCTCCTGGCTGTTAAAGAACCTTAATTTGATTGAGAATCAACAATACAGTCTTCTCATCAGTTTCTGTTTACTTAAATTTCTCTCACCAACATCTTATAATTTTCAACATAAAATCTTACTCAGTTTAAATTTATACTTAAGTATTCCTTATTTGATGTCTTCTTTAAATGGTATGTATTCTCATTTTACAGATAAGGAAAATTAACTTGGCCAAGTTGACACAATTATTAAATGACAAAACCAGTTTGAAACCCTCAAAAGTTTATAAGCCACTATTCTGGTTTTAATTATGCTGGTTTTCTTATTCGCAAAGTGTTGTGGTTAGTGGTGGCAGACAGGAATTCCTAACTTAACAAAATCCCATTACAGTGCTTCTGTAAAAGAATTGATCCCGTTTGTTTTCTTAGCTTTGGTTTTCTGTATCTGTTCAAATCATAACCATGCTCATCTTGATTCAGAAGTATGTGATGAATACAGTTGTGAACCAGTGCTTTTAAAGTACCTTGTCCTGCAGTTAGCTAGTATGAATTGCTAAAATGTGTGCTTCTAGCACTTGAATGCCCACTGTGTGCTCAACAGTGGAGAGTGAAAACATGATTTCTTGAACAACTTCCCTGTGGGGATAGGGAATGTTTTTATTTTATGTTAGTAAACACCGTAATAGATGTGTATCTGTGGGCACTGGTAGAACAAAAGCTTTACTTGATTGGAGTTAAAGTAGCTGCACTCTTACTCACTTCATGTTTTGGACTTAAAAAAAGTTTTAAGCAGGAAACATGAGGGGAGAAACTGGAGTCACTTCAGCAGTCACTTTCTTTGGCAGATGGTGTGAGTCCTTAGAAAAGATCAGTGAGAGGGCACCCAGGCGTGAATACAGTACGGGTATGGTAGAGTGCAGGAAAGTAAAACAGAGGTCAAATCTGTGTTCCATTTCTCAAGGAATTCAGAAGTTATGGAGAAACAATATTAGGATTGAGTATCCTACATTGACTTTTCATTTGTGGATTTCTTCTGGTTTAATAGCATCTTGGTAAGTAGGTATTTTTATAAAATGAGAAAAAAATACTAATTTGCAAACTTAATTTGAAGAATGTTTTAATGTTTAAATAGGTTAAACATGTTGACGACCTACAACTTGATTTTTCTTTTATTTTTCAGGTCCCTTTGTGAATGATAGAAATGTCTTACCAGATAAGTGCTTTTATAGTCTGTGTATTTTATTATTTGTAATCTCTAAACCAAATCTCTTAAAACTTTTTTTTTTAGGTACCACTATCAAGGTTTACAGTAACAAGGTACTCAATCTTTCTGAAAATAAATTTGTAGTCTTATCAAAGTAAAATGTACCAGGTTTTTTTACCCAAGGCTAATCATCTCAGTGGTGCAGTTAACAAAGTACCCTTATAACTGAACCTAGATCATCTGTTAATCCTGTATGTAGTATGTATAAAAATCAAGTTGTCCTTCTTTCTCATAAAATCTAGGTGTGTCTGCTTATGTAATCTTAGATTTTATCTGATGTTATGGTACCAGTGATAGTTTTCAGGTGGCTTAGCTGCTCAAATTTAGGTTTCTTTAGAACCAGTGTCTTACTATTTTAAACAAGGTTACTAGTTTCATTGATGTCAATTTAAAAACAGATATACTCAGCACGATGTTAAAAGTTAAAAGGTTCATGTGCCAATTCATACTTTGGAAGTTTTAGATAAGTATGTAATGGCCATGCATTGGCTTAGGGGTACTCAGCTTATATCCATAGATAAATCCAAGCTAGTATTGTTGAGGTGTTATCCAAGGCCAACATTGATGTCAAAAGAGTTAATGTATGACTTAAAATAAAATGTAGCAAGTAATTTTACATAAAAGCAGTTGTATGAGGTAATAGTTTTTTGAGTTGTTTGTATAGTAGTTAGCTATTCACATAAAATGATTTGCTCACACAGATACTCAAAGTGCAACAAATACCCTGCTGCTAAACTCAGTGACTAGATTGCCTTCTTAGGAAAGCACTACAGTTGACTGGAGTGGTACTGGCATGAGCCCAATGAAGGGTGTGTATAGCTGGCATACTTGGCCTGAGTTCACATTGTTTCTTCCTGATGTGAGTGCTACTGTTCAGGTTATGACAGTTGTTTTTACAAGCCACAATACTGATTATTAACAGAGCAGTTCCACAAATTTAATTAATTTTAAAGCCTCTTTTTACAATATTTTAACGAAGAAATTTTGAACTAGGCATAAATCTACATTTTAATGCTAAATAAATATGTGCTTAGTTCCACCAGTTCTGTTAAGCAGACTTCAATTTTTAGCAAGACAAAAATTTATTGAAAATTGGTCAGCAGTATGTCATAATCCACAGAGCTAAACAGTTACATGGGACTATATTAGAAATTTAAAATTAATGCTGAAGTGTATGTTACATGTTATCATCATCTGATTCATCTTCTTCCTTCAAGGATTCCTGTTAAAAGAGAAGGTTTAAAAATTGATTTTTAGTATTTTAAAGCAATCTGAATCTAATAAAGTATGAATTAAAAATACTTTATAACTGACAAATAAAAACTAGTTTAGAATAAGACACCCAAGCAAAGAAAAGGATAGTTGACGATAGCTTCACACAATCTTGAAATCATTAAATGTCCTGAAAAATCCTTACCATTTTCACACAAAATTTTTGGAACCAGGGCAACATTATCCCCACTGAAGATAACCTAGAAACTTTCTATCCTTAGTTCCATTCAACCCTTATGTTATTTAATAGAAATAAACTAAGTTCCTTTATTATTCAGCACTTACTTCCATGATAACTACAGCCAGAGGAGTTTTCATGCTGTGGCTTACCTTGGCATATTTCTCTGCTTCTTCCCTGATATCCTTTGGAACAATTTCATGTCTTCCTTTAGTTACTGTAAATTAAGCCATATATTTAAGTGAATTAAAAATGAGGACTATATTGCGATTTGCAGTACCAAATAACCTACCATCTAATGTTAATACTGTAAAATTGTACTGTGAGAAATGCTTTGACTCATCTTTGTTTTTGCCACAGGAGATTAAAACTGCCCAAATTTAGCTTTTACGGAAATGAATAAATTACGCTATAATTTATCCTGATGCTTTGAAAAATACTGAGCATTGAGTATGGGTGCAGTTTGATGAGATCAATTCCTTTTTATAAGGAGTGGGAAGGTTTAGTCTAGTTGCCACACTAGAAAGAAAAAATTGATGATTTCTCAGTAATACTTTTAAAAACAAAGAATGAATGTTTCAAAAATTAAATGGCCTATTTACAGCATTAGTCAATTTTTAATTTTTAAGCAGAACTTTCCCTTTATAAAGACTACCTGGTAAATTTGTTCCGTCTTTGTATAAAAAGGCACCTAGTGGTGTGACCACATTTTGGCAAAACCTACTGCAGTGGGACATATGCATGTTTCGTGACCCAGCAATTCCACTAATACTCATGTGTATTTCCAAAAGAAATGCTACATATGTGTACCAAATATTTGTACAAGATGTCCATAGCTGCATTATTCATTACAGTTAAACACTGGGAAGAGCCCAACTGTCCAGCAGCAACAGAGGAGATGAACTGTGGTATACAGACATCAGACTACTACAATGCAAAGCAGCTGAACAAATAGTGCTACACACAGCAACACATGATTCACACAAATACGGTATTAAAAGATATCAAGGACAAAAGAATATGTATTGTTTAATTCCAATGATACGAAATTCAACATTTCCTATCATCATCAGAACTACCTATTATGTTAGAATTCAGGACAGTGGTTGCCTTTGGGGAGAAGGTAAAAAATACCATGCTTTCAAGGAGGCCTAAGGGGTGATCTGGTCTGGGCTATTAGTTGACCAGAGCAGTGGTTACATAAATGACTGTATTCATTTTGTGACAGTTGTCCAGTTTATTATTTGAGTACTTTGCTGTATGTCATTAACCAATTTTTTTTTTTTTTTACAAAGAAAGAAAGGCACCCAGTGGTCTGCTGGGTTTGGTACAGATGACATAAAGTAAATAAATGTACAAAAAATAACTTACTTTCACCAACCCAGCTGAGCTCTAGTTCAAAAGCTTTATCCTTAACTTCATCATGTACTATGTAAATTCTAAAACACAAAAGGGAGAAGTTTTAATTAAATTCATTTGACCATCTACAAACATTGAAATTGATGTACAGTCAGCACAAATTGGAATACTTAAGTATTTATAAAGTACTTAGTTTTCTAGAACTAAATAAAATACATAGTGTTTCATGTTATTAAGTGATGAAGGTGTGGTAAGGGCTAATTTCCAGAAGCACTTGTGAAAGAAACAGTTTATTGTGTTAAACTGTTGAACAATTCATTGAACATTATTTATTGTCTAAGTGGTTCTGTTCTGTGTTGTCAGTGTTTCTCATTTGCTGCTAACTGACAGTCACAGGGGATTCTGCTTATTCACAACTGGAAAGGGGAAGGGACTCAAAAGTAAAAAGATGGATTGTCAGTAGCAAGAGTGATAGGGGACAATCAGGACAAAATTATAAAACAAGGTTTTAATAGCTTATTAAAATGATCAGATTAGAAGAGAGTAAGGGTACCATTTAGATAGCAAATTCAAATTCATTATTAGATAATAGAGCCTTCTAGGACTTTTTTCTTGCATGTATTACGATGTAAAACCTGAGACACAGGCACAAACAGCTAGCTGACTGATTAGACAACATTCATGTTGTAATATGGAACAACTAGAGGTGCTATGAATTCTCTGGAATATTATGTTTATTACTTTCAGTCTGAAAAACTGGCTGTAAAATCAGCATTTCAGTGGATTTTTTTTGAATACCAAATGCCTGCATTTTTTGATCTAGTAGAATCATGAATTTGAAATACTGCCACTCAGCTTTACTGACTTCATTGCTTCCTATTATTGTTGCATAGCATTCTATGCTATGTACCTGTAGGATGAACCACTTCAGGCCTTCTTAAGCTGTTTTTAAATGTTTTGAAATACTGCTCTTCTCATCTAATTAGAACTTATGATTAACAAAGAACCCAAAGAACCAAGATTATACAAATGAGCCAGCTTCATGGGTCATGTACAGAATTAGTTACAAACCTAAAAGTTTGCAAACTAAGATTACTACTTTGGGGGCTCTGAACATTTGAAAAGTTGGAAGCTTTCAAATGAAGCCCTTAGTCTATGTCCTATCCTTTTAACTCTGTCGCTTAAATAGGAGTTTATTTTGTCAAAAGCTATTTTTTTCCTATCCCATTCATTATCATTTAAAATATGGAGATTCTTTCCCTTAATGGGGCTTAGAAATGAAATCAGTCGCCTTTTAAAAATTATGCACTAAGTTATTTTCAAACCAAACAGCAACCTTAGGATTAATGTTAAGGTAGATCAAGTGAAATAAATAGTTTTGTCACTGGTAAGAAAAATTTCAACTTACATTTTTGCAACTTCTTTAACAACATCACGGCAGGTCATTTCTTTCATCTACAGAAAATAAAATATTTATTTAAGAGACAAAAGAACAACACTCTGCACTAGTGTAACTATTTTGAGATTCTTTTTACAACTTATACCAATTGTCCATGCTCTAAAATAAGGAAAATAACCTGAAATCCCTTGGAAGACCACAACCTAAGTTTTTTGATTCAGTTTTAATATTCTTAAATCATACCAAAAAACATACTCTGAACAACTCATGGGTACCCTGGATTTTGTGGTATTAAAATGTATAAAAATCCAGACCCCTTTATCAATCTTCTCATAGGCAGACCCTGATACATAAAGATTACAGAGAAGATTTCTTTTTCTCTAGTCAATTTAGGATAATAAAATATAAACAAACAATGAATTCCTACTACTATACAAGAAGGAGTGAGACAGAGTACCTCATGGAAACTATTTAAGACAAATGCAAATGTCAGGAAAATCTCTACAAAACAAGGTTTGAGAGGTTTCTTAGAACATAGTTGGATTTGGTTTCATTTTGAGGAAGAAAAAAAAATGCACAAAGGAGAAGTGGGAAACCAAAATCTTAACTCATACTGGGAATAACTAGCATTCTTACAGTGAATATTGGATATGAGGATAGAAAAATAGCCCTTAAATGCTCAGCTGAGGAGTTTGTATACTAGGTATTGGAAGTGACTATTACAGAATATTTATTAGGCACTGGTTTCTGAATACACATGGTAAGATTAAAAGACTATAAACAAACTGGTATTCATATTCTGGACATGTTGGGGAGATGGAAAATGGTGAGAGAAAATTTTATATAGCAGTCCAAACTTGGAGTGATTTAGTTACTACATGTCTAAGTTCATTAGTACCTTTTTTTGTGGGGATATTGTTTTCTATTTAGAAATCCTGATGCTATAGCTGTGCCTGCACAGCATAAAGCAGGAACAACAAAAAATCATACTAAATGTAAATGTAAAAATACCAGTCTTATTAGCAAAAAGACAAATCTAATATGTGGGACCAACTACAAAAGCAACTGGCATGGGCTCTTTAAAAAATTAATGCTGGGAGGAGGAAAGGAAGACTCTTAAAAAGCATATAAGAGACAAAACCCTATGTGTCAGCCTTAAATACACAACATGTGAACCAAAAAAAAAAAAAGTTACAGATGACAGGATTATTGAGGCAATTCAGTTATGAACTGAATGTTAGTATCTGAGGTTGCTCAGAATGGTATTCTAAGGAGATGAATGCTAAAGCATTTAGAGATGATGCCTAATTTGAGACAGTTCATGGGAAAAAAATGGATAAAATAAAAAACCATTCTTCAATCTAACTGAAGATACTGTACTCTTTCCTGATGTTTAAGTTCTTCCTGACTAAATTGGGGGTGAACTGAAGGAAAATCCTGATCTTCATACTATGCCCTTATAGGTTAAGTTCTGTTTTGAGTAAAATTAGTTGTATCACAAAGGCAAACTAAAGCAAACGTGAAAAGGCACATTTTAAACAATATAGTTTTACATATGTTCATGAAGTTTTTATTTCATAAAATGATATTCTTGATAAACAGAAGAAACGCAGGCCAGAGCAATGATGGAAAGCAGGGATTGTCAAATTCTACTCTGTAAAGGGCCAAATAAGTAATTTTTCATCTTTATGGTCCATGTGGTCTTTGGTCTCTATTCCAACTATTAAATTACGTTGTAGTGCGAAAGCAGACAATGTAGTGGTGTTCATTCAGTAAAACTAAAAAGCAGGCTATGTGCCAGTTTGCTGACCTCTGATTAGGAGCATATTTTTGTCATTAAGTATAGATATGTTACCTCAAAGTGATCTTAATTCTTAGCTACGATTTGTTGGTATTCCCATTCCTTGCTAGGATTTAACCTCACAAAGACAAAAGAGCTAATGCTCCGAGTACTCTTATTTTCAGATTTCCACATAATGTTAAGGAGAGATGAAAGCAAACAGGAAAAGAGTAAATTAGGAACTTCACACTATACCAGGAAGCGAATGATGGAAAAGAGCACTGGCCTAAGAGCCTTGAGGTCTGCAAATTGTTCATAACCAATGTATTTTGACTCTAGCAGGTGTGTCTAGCCCAGGCTGGGCTTTGGCTAAGTGATTTCTGGGGTCCTTTTATCAATTTTACTAAAACACCAGAAATGAATTCAGCTTTACGGGTCTAGAATTTGGCATTAAATTCCAAGCACTAAAAAAATGTTTTCTTGAATGTGGCCTTAAATAATACTAGTTAAGCAAGGTTCTAGTACAGCACTAATATTAAAATGTATACGAAATATTAAAATGTACATGTAATTTAGCAAAATACTACGAAAGTATATGCTTCCCTTTTAAAGAAGTTTCTCATAAGTAATAAAGTTTGTGGATAATATTTCAATATTAAGTTGGCTAAATGGAAAACCAGGAAATTTTTAAGAAAACTTCTTTACACTAATAGATGAATTTCTTGCTCTTAAGGAAAGAAAAAATGGGTAGTTTTAACAGGGTTTTGTGCTTTACCTAGCTAGAAACAAAGCAAGAAGCCTAGAGCACAGTTTGATTGAATAGAAAAACTCCAGACAAAAGCAATTTTCTGGAGAAGAAATGATATAGTAAAACACCAAAGTTCTCAGGCTCTCAGGGCTTCAAGGATTTTGTGAAATCATATGAAATTTTTTGTATTTTTATCAATTAAGGGTTTATAGTAAGCAGCCATCAAAATCATAAAGGGATCCATGACACACTTCTATATTTACTACATTACCAGCTTTCTTATTTAGCCACTTACCTTTTAGAAACCTTTACTCCAAACAGCAAACCACACACTTTGGACTAAAGATTTAGTTTGTGGTGATAAACCTCAGTACTTGAGAATGTTATAGCAAAAATTCAAGCATTAATATATATTACCTGAAGCTTTTCTATTTCTGTCTTTGCAGCTTGCCTGGCTTTACCAATGGCACAGCCCCAATAACCCTATGTAAAAAGAACACACACACAAAAATAGATATATCATTCTATTAAATTAATATACTCTCATAAATTATTAATGATTACTGATGTTTGTATTTAAAGGTTAATGAAAGGATGTCAAATGACTTTTAAAAATCACAAACACATTCTAATGACCACTAAGGGGCTCAAAAAATTAAAATATCAAACTTAATTCTATAATAATCTAGCTTATTTTTTATTAGAGGTGTACCAAAGGAAAACATGTTATATATACTTTATGAACTCCAGACATTTCAGAGGGTAGGAAGGAATAAAACTGTAGCATGACGGTGAAAGTGAAGTTATTTTTTAGAGAAAAAAAATAATTCCTATTCAATACACCCTGATTTATTATTTGTATTGTAAAGGTTTTTTTTTTTAATTGAAGGTAAAAATGGCCAATTAACACTTGTAATTCGTTTTTTTAAATTACCAAAGCCCACAAAAATCTCGGGAAAAAAAGTAATGAAAGGTCCAAGAATTCCATTTAGAATCCTTTTTTGTAAGGGAAGATGTATTCAGTTTTGAGATACTGGTAATAGAGTAATGAAGGAAATACCACAGGTAAAACTTTATGCAATTTCTATAAACAACATATTGAAAGCCAAAAAACACTTTCTTCTGCCTAATATCCACAGGTTATTATTACTAATAAATACAGTTACTCCCCTTGAATGAATTGTAAAGAAACGTTTGTAACCCAAATATATGCTTTAAGTGCTAATGAGATAACTGTTAAACTTGGAAATAGAATTTCATGATTCAAAATTACTCACATACGAAACTCCTGATGGGTCAATCATGTAGAGTTGTGCACTGTCATTCACACTGTAAGACCCTAACATGAAACTGCATAAAAGCAAATTAATACTTTAAACACCACAGTCCTTAATACCATAAAAGTATGTTTAAAATAGTGATAAAATTATACTTTATAACATAAACTATGAATATACAAGCATTATCTTGGACATATTTGCAGGTTCACTTCCAGGGCACCACAATAAAGTGCCCATTACAATAAAATGAGTCATGAATTTTTTTTCTCAGTGCATGTTATATTTATACTATACTATACTCTTAAGCTTCATAATAGCATTATGTCTTTAAAAAACTGTAAACACTTTAACTAAAAAACTTTATTGCTAAAAAATGTTCATCCTCCAAAGTGCAGTAAAGTGAAGGGCAATAAAACAAGGTATGCCTGTACATAAAACTTGTAGTAAACACGCCAATAAGGCAGTTTCAATAAAAACTACACATACTTGAAATTGTTCAAAATTCATGTGGCTGTGTGTGTTTAGTATTAAACTTTCTGATGAAACTTCACTGGGAGGATAGCACCATACACAAAGATGTAATAGTAAATGGAAAAACCATAAAGGGCCCAATAGGTAAAGGCATACACACGAAAAAGTAAAGATGACCAAATTCCTGATGTGCATTCACTGAATCTACCTCAAATTCCTACTCCACCCTTCATGTTTGGCCATTCCTCAGTATTCCTGCAATAATTTTTCTGCAGTAATGTAAATTGATTCAATACATCTTTATATGCTCAACAAATTAAAACTAGGTTATGAAATGACCATATGAATTGCAATTTTCTGAAATTGTGTTTTCTTTGCCCTAGAAGTAGAAACCAGCCCCATCTTACATATTTCATTTACAAAATACCATAACAGTCAACTTAACCAATTCCCACCTCTACTATCATTCCCTTCCATCTTCTATAATGCTGAGACTTACCTTTCAGAATATGTAACTTCATTATTTTAAAACCCTTCAATGTTTCCTTAGTATAGATCATAGGCTTCTGTAGGATCTAGCCACTTTTTACATCTTCACCAAACCTAGTATACCTACCTGACTACCTCTTCATTACCTGAAGATACCCATGTAGATTCATACTAGTCTCTACTAGAAATACTTTACCATTCCCCCTACACCTCAACAATTTTTTCCTTGCCACCTCTCTAGAGAGAGGTATTCCCTAACTGGTGCCCCACTATACTCAGTAGGTATCTATCACATCACCTCTAAAACTTTGACACAATGATTAACCTTTGTGTTCCCTCCCCACTTTTTGACTAACAGTATATCTCAATAAATGTTTGCTGAAAAAGTTCTCTTCTCCCCACTATTCTTACTCCCTTAAAAAGAGAACTGATAAATTCAGAGCTCAGTTGATTTTTAACCTAAGTGTTTTATAAGGTATTTTATTTAAGACCCCTAAGAAATAATATGAAGAATATGTGTAGCATACTGATGGTAGAATAAATTCAGGTTTTCTCTTAGCACTTGTCCTTATTACTTTAAATGTGGCTATTATAATCAACTCGAGGTAGGACTATAGCTAATAGACTTTCTACCACCTTTAACAGTGGCAAGCACTCAGATGTATTTTATTGTGATTAAAAATGACTTTTAAGAAGTTACAAATATGTCTAAGAAAATGTAGTCATCGATAGATGACAGATCTAGAGAGATGTAGCAGATCAAAATACTAGATAAAGCTCTGAGAAGCCAGTATTTGAATATTTACATGTATTTCAGGTCTTGATACAATTGACGCTACCTTTCCCCCAAAACAAAAAGATCAGCACCTCACCTGAACAGAAATAAACTAACTAATGGGGAACTGTGAAATGTAACTTTTTATAGATTTATTACTCACTGCTAAAGATATAATCTCCCATTTTAAGAGACTTTTACCTGATTGAAGTGTAACTGATGTAAATGAGAAAACTGAAGTATCAATACAGTTGGGCTATCTAATAACATGGAATATATTTAAAATCAGTTTGCAGTTTTCTGAGACTGTCAGGACACAATACCAGATAATTTGTTTTTTCAAGTTCTATTAAGATAACTGACATACATCATTGTATAAGGTTAAGGTACAGCATGATGGTTTGACTTATATATGTTGTGAAATGATGAAAACAGGTTTAGTTAATGTCCATTATACAGATAAAAAGAAAAAACTTCCTTGTGATGAGAGCTCTTAGGATATACACTCAATTTTCCATATACCATACAGCGATGTTAATTAGTCATCATGGTGCACATTTACATCCCTAGTATTTAATTATAACTGAAGTTTTTACCTTTTGACCACCTTCTTCTGGAGAACTTATAACCAAATAAAGTTATTATTACCATGAGTTCTGTTTTATCCTCAAATCTGTACTGTATTTTTCACTATTCAAAGTTTTTATATACAGTTTTACTTAATCACTGCCTTAATACTTCTATGGGGAAAACAGATACCTAAAACACAGACCTGCCTGAATATCTCACAAAAATTCATACCTGCAGCCAAAAGGTCTAACAGCACTGTAGAGCGTATATGCATGAACGTACATGGCCACTCTGTCTGCAAGATGCTATGAGGAGAAAAAACAGAAGATTTTATTAATAAATTTCTATTACTGTTCAAAAGGCTCCGCAACAAGTTATCCAACTTACTTTTAGTGGAATGTTATAGCCGAAGTTAGATCTAAAGTTGGAAGCTTCTTCTCTTGCAATGTCTGCTAAAGATCGAGCATCTGCCAACAAACCTGCTACTGCCTGAAAGAAAGTAAGTACCAGTAAATACACCTCCATCACCAATTAAAGTGTGTGTGTCGTTACTATAGGCTTACTTAGTATTTTTTTTTTACCAAGCATCGCCATTAGAAGTAATTTTTTTGGCTTAAAATTCTTTACAAAGCATTCTAGCATTTTGATCCTTGAGTGTGGGATTATAATTTGGAAATTTACCCAGTGTGATTTCACTATTTTGTCCAATGATCACATACAGAAGGATTAGTTCTATAATAAATGCTCCACATCTCCCCATTTACCACTTCATTATAAAGAATAAAACAAAAAAGAATAAAACCACTGGTCTTGGTCAGGACTGATCTTTAAAACAGTTCTGTGTTCAAAAAGTTTTGGTCTAAAAGGCACAACCTGAAATTTTTTTTTAGGCTACTGACTGATAAATTGCAATGCCAAACCAAAACACAACAAACCACACATCTTCCAAGATTGGTGGCTCAAAACTGCAGAACAAATTGAGTAAGTCAAAAAGGAACATTTTTAAATGTGACCTTACCATTCCAACATGCCGATCAACATTAAAAAGTCGTTTGTTGGAACCTTCTTCATAAAGCTTAGAAAGGACTAATTTTTCTACCCCAAAGACAACACCATCTTTACATCTGATTCCAATAGCTGTACTGAAACAAGAAGAAAATCAATTTTTTTGACTGAAAATAAAAAACTCTAAA